AAAATCCCTGTAATCCCTCCGAAGTACAATTAAAGATTATGAAATTATCAAGGATATGAATACAACTAAAAATCTATTCACAAAATGATATAATGAGGGCTCATTTGTTCCAAACTTAAAGTAGTTTAGAGAAAAAGTTAAAACAGGTGGTTAGTTTTGTAAGATGGTTAGTAAGATGTAGTGCAAAGCTAAGTGACAGTATCCACTAGAACTGAGCCACATGGTGGGCTGCTGAGAAAAGCAAGTACATTTGTAGTATAGAACCAATGTTTTGAGCAGACATAAAAGACTACCATTCCTGTTATATGGCTTTGGTGCCAGCACCAGACCCAAAATATTAGACTTCATGGTCTCAGAAGGCACCATCATGCTCTGATTCAAGGTAAATGTATGACTAAAGATTATCCTTTTCTTGAAGGCAATAAATGGGAATAAAAAGGAACATCATGCATTTCCCACCATTCCTTCGGCACCTACTTGACTTACAGACCAAGCACATACTAGGTACTTTAGAATAATCTCACTAAATCCTCACAAGGAAATTTATTATTCTCATCTTACTAGGAGGATATTAAGGCTCTGAGAGGTCAGACTTTTGGCAAATATATATTATGGGCATGAAATATAATAGTAAATTTAGAGTATGGATTTATTAACAGGTCTATGCCATTGCTACATTTCATGATATGAGAAATTAACAAAAGTTAACAAAAAATGGTCATTTTAAAAGTTCATACATTTTTCATTTAAATGCTCAGTAAACATCAGCTATCTTACGAAGATGTTCAGTAGCAATGCATTTGGATCGTTTTCAGTCCCCTTTTCCTCAAACCTCATATTCTATCCCTCAGCACACCTGGCTAGTTACCTTCCTTTCTATCTACTATACTGCCTACTCTAATAATACGCCAGCAAAATGTACATGCAAAAAAAACTCTCCACTACCACCTACTCTAACTCAGGCCTCAATGAATTAAAACAAGTCTCCTAAATACTCCCGCTGTTCCTTCTACCCACCTCCCTGAGCCTATTCGGAATCCCTGCTAAGGTTCCCTTTTTAAAGATGCTCCTTTTGCAAAGGTAGCATTTTAAAGGCTATCCAATCCGCCAGGGTAAACACTATCACTGAGCAGTATCCTCAGTCCTCATTTGACTCTTCATTTGAAGCTGGCCTCACTAAGCAGCCCATGTCACCCTTGAATTCACTCTATAGTCCAAGGCTGGCCTTGAACTTGTGATCTTTCTCCCTAAGACTGCCAAGTAGCTGAGATTACAGGTTGCCAGACCCAGGCAAAATCCAAGATCTTTATAACAAGCAGAATCCAGTACCTTCCTCTGGCGTCCTTTCTTCCCCTCCTCTACTCCAGCACAGTTGCCTCACTGCTGTTCCTTTGATATTCTAAGCACCCTCCCTGCTCCTGGCTTTTTCAACTCTTTCTGGACCTCAGGTACTGCCTAGGAAAATTTCAGCTCAAATGACACCCTGTCTGTAAAGACTTACTTCCTACACCTTTACTTTACCAGAGCGTGTGCTACTCCCAGTGTAGCAGGTATTCATCACTGTTTACCTGACCCCATGATTAAATTTCACGAGATAAGATCTTGTATCTTCTCCATGCCTAGAACAGGATCCGGCATGAAGTACATACCTGAAAAAATATTTGCTAAGTGATACAAATTATTAGTGCCAAAATCTAGATTCCTAAACACTCCTGCACAGGGCCTCTATACCACATATGCTCTACTACTTAATCTAAACAATTCCAGCACTCTGGGGCAGAGACCAGGGCCTCTTCCACTCCCACACAAACATCAAAATCCTCGATTACTTCATTTACATGCTTGCTTTCCTGTAAGATAATTTTCAAATTACTAAACCTGAGGTTCTTATTACTCTACAACATGTTCCACATTTGCTGCTGAATCTTCTCTCAGGCTGCTCTGAGAAAGTAAGTCTCCTCTCAAATGGCAGCCTGAGTCTCCCACCTACTGTTTATGCACTGCCAAATAAACTAGGGTGCATGCTTCTTGGGGTCTCCAGCACAATGTCTCATACATGGAAAATATTCTCAAATATTATTGGTACTCTTGCTTCAGTTCCTTCCTTGAACTCAGTGATACCTTGATACTCTTCATTCCCTCATGAACCACCAGTTCTCATGGGTGCGGGGAAGCTCTATTAACCGTCACGGGAAAGGAGGAAACAAGCTGAAAAAATTCTTTCTGATGTGACTACTTTCTCACTCCCAACATCTGAAGGAGGGAGGAAGTGACAAAGGCCGCCCAGACAGATGAGAACTTGGATTGCCTTTCACAACTCAGCCCTGGCAACTTGAAAGAGCAGGACTGACAGGTTCCTAAAGGGACAAATGAGACTGAATCTTAAAAGACACTTCTGTTGACTGGTGTTAATGACTTCGGAAGAGATTTAAAAAAATAAAAGGACACGGACAGACGCATGCGTCATCACAACTCATTTAACTCTTTTACTTTATGCTGTTTCTTCTAGCAAAAGTTCCATGGCACATATACGGAAAAAAATCTAATTTAATATTGATCTAAAGTATATTTTTTCAATTTTCAATTATGCTAACAAATGGCACAAAGACCATGCATTATTGCAAACCCTCCAATAATAATAATAAAACATTCTACTTTTTTATTTTATTTTAGCTTTTTGTTTTTTATTTAGTTAGTTTTGGTTTTTCAAGACAGGGTTTCACTGTAGCTCTGGCTGTCTTGGACTTGTTCTGTAGCCCAGGCTGGCCTCGAACTCACAGAGATCCACCTACCTCTGTCTCCTGAGTGCTGGGTTTTAAGGCATGTGTCACCACTACCCCACTTATTCTATGATTTTTTTTTTAACTTACTCTGGAACAATTCCTTTCATTGGAGCACAAATCAAAAGGTGCTATAAAAAAATAAGCAATGTTCTTAATAGCAACAACAGGAAACTTACCTGAAGTTAATTTGGATGTGTGTGCAAATAATAAAGATCGATTAAATTTGGAGATGAACTATAAAATTTAAGCATCAGAGACTAGAACGAGCAAAGGTAAGATGGTCTGGAACTCACAAAGCTCCTACACATAGCAAGGTAAACATAGATTAACTGCTTGTTTTTAATAAGATCAGTGTTACTTGCTTTATATTCTCTAAACTAGAAAATATGCTAAAACCTCAGCAGATACAAACAAAAATCATCTGCAGCCACCTTGCATTAGTTAGGCGTGCCTTCGATGGTGCCTTGAACCTGAGCTCTGTAAGCCCAATTACAGAGCGCATCGCCAGCCAAGGTAAAAGTCTAAGAATCAGACTTCTCTGTGTACGCTCAGTTATCTGATTGGGTACCAAATCAGAGAAAACTTACAAATAGCAAATCAAGTGGATACTAAAAAAACTTAACAGTGGGTGTGAGAAAGTCACCAAAGACACAAACTTAAGAAACCGTGCAGTCCGCTCCTCACTTCACTCAACTGCCCAGACCTACCTCCCCGAAGCTAGGCTATCTTAGCTAGGCTATCTAAACAGCCGCTGTCCCACACTCCACTCCTGTATTCTTATTTTTCCTCACAGAGGTAACTACAGGCCGTATCGTACAGCTCTATTCGCTGCCTGCTCTCCTGACTAGAACAGAGCCTCCATGAGGGCAGCAGCCTTTTCGGTTTTGTTAATCTGGGCTCTGTGCACACTAGGTGGGCATTCGATGAGCCCTGAGCAAGTGCTGGATCAGAACGTGATAGAACTGACGCCCAGAGAGGTCACAGGATTTCCTCAAGGTCACAAGCTGGCACAGTCTTTAATATAGACCTATTTACTACAACCCTGCCTGTTTGCGCCTTCCATAGCCGCCTGAACACCAAGCCAGCCTCACAAGGCCGTGCACTGCTTAAAGGAGTCTCTTCAGCGGAGTTTTCTTTCTGGTTTTTTTTTTTTTGTGCAAAGAAAAAAAAAAAAAGACCAAAAAAGTAACACACTTCAAGTGCTTCACAAACTAAAAATGTGCTCCAATTTCATAAGCATGCAGGATTAGCCCATGAAACAGGGAGGCACAAGCACTCACAGCTCCTTGGGTTCCTTTGGCAATTAGTGTGTGTGTTACAAGTTTTAAAAACAGCTACTGAATGGCCAGGAAAGCATCAACCTCTCGTTCTTGGCAGGCCCACAACAGCTCCCCTCTGTCAGATGCGCTTTATCTTGCAGATTATGCAAGGAGGCAACGTACCACTGAAGCCCCTTAAGTTCCTGGTAAAGTACATGTCAATCTTGCAAAACACTAAACAGAACATCAACTCTCAGGAAGTTTTGGAGCCTGTGAATAGGTCCCTCTCAGACTCAGCTGACTCCCATCAAGTTTCCTTCATTGAAAAACCTGCGAATCTAAACGAAAAGCGGGAGGGGGTGAAGGGGCAGAAAGGGAGTGAAGAGCCATTTTCGGTCAGAAAACTGGAGCTGATCCTGTTAGTACCACTCTAGCCCTACGCCAGCTTTTCGCAGAAAGCCAGGGCCTCGCCGATACAACTTGGGTTGTCTTCTCTGGTCACCTTCCTTGCAGAGAGACTAGGCAACTGCCAAAACCTTTTGCGATGAATGTCCCTAGACCTAGGGTGCATCACATTGAGCCAGGGTGATCTGCTCAGAGGCTCTCAAAACTACTGTCAGCCCAATCAGTTACACCGAAAGGGACATCCCATGATGTGGCATGGCAAACAGTTGAAATGAACACGGGAGTTGAGAGAGGGAAAACAGCCGATGAAAAGGCTCCGGGAGGGTAAACGCATTAGGAGAGGGAGCGGGAAACAGGGTCTAGGAAATGGGGTCAGCAAAAGCCAAAGGTGACTGGAGGAAGAGGGGGAGGGGGGATGAGATTCTGGAAGTGATGGGCGCGAGGCAAGGGGGAGGGGACGCGAGTGGGCTGGGGGAGGGGGTGAAGGGTCCGGGGCGGGGCGGAAGAGAGAGAAGAGGCGGGATGAAGATGGCCAGGCCGGGAGGGTCTTTACCTGCAGCTCCGCCCGCTCCACCTCCCACTGGGCTCTCTCCACCTCGAAGCGGGCCCATTCGTGCTGCAGGAAGTGCAAGATCCCGGGGAGGCTGTACTGAGCTCGGGCCGCCCCCGCCGCAGCCGCCCCGTCTCCGGCCGCTGCAGCCTCCGCCAGAGGCCCGAGTCCCTTAGCACCGCCAGCACCTGGGTGGTTGTTGCTGAAGAAGACGCCGGGCCCCGCCTGCTCGTCCATGGCGCCCGCACGAACCCCGGGGAGCTCTGCCTAGGCGCCCAGCAGCGGCGGCAAACTGCGGCGGCCAGCTCTGCCTCCTCCCTCCGCCGCTCCCCGCCCACACCCCAGTCAGCAGGGAGCAGCCGCCTGGGCGCGGGGGCCGGGCGAGCCCGTGACGGGCCGGGAAGTGGGTCAACTGCAGCCCGCGGGGCTTGCCGGGAAATGTAGTCCCGGGGCGTGGCGAACCCGGCTGCCTGTGGGGCTGCGCCTCTCCGAGGCGGGGCTGAGGCCACGCCCCTTCCTCGCCACGCCCTCCCCTCGGGGCTGCGCGGGTTTCCTCTCCCGCGGTGCGGCGGGGCAGTGCCCTTCGGGCGAGCCGCCGCAGGCTCCCTTCACGCGGAAGTTCGCGGGCGGCGCTCCCTGTTGCATACTCACACGCGGAAGTTATCACTCCAAGTACCAGCCCCAGCTGCACACATTTTAGGGCTTCCTGGTTGTTTTGTTAAGAAAAAGGCTCAAAGCAAGCCATCGGGTGGGTCCTCTCCCTCGTCGCCCATCTGGGGGTTCATCGGAGCCCCGACACCCCTGGACCAGGGGTCACGGTCGCGTCTGCCCTCCTTTCTCCCGAGGGACTCAGTTTTGTTGACAGATCGGTTTTGCTTAGGAGGCACTCTGGTCTCTGCTGAAATTCCACATTTGCGGTTTTGGAAGACTTCTTCCAAATTCTAGTTTAACACCTGTAATCTGAAATCCCTTTCTCTGTTGTAATCCTTTGGTAAATTCTGTGAAAGTTGTAGATCTCCAGTAACAAGTGCTGTTTCTTCAATCTCATTTTTCCCGTCATTGCCGCACCGTTTTTACCCAATTCACTTGAACAAGCATTTTATTGTCAGTTATATGTTGTGCCGAGAATATAAAGATAGATGCCACAGATTGACGTACAGAGTCCTAAGGAGTAGCAAAATCCCTTTTTGCTTCACTGCGTCCTTGAATACCCAGGAACCGCTTCCTTTCACTTGTCGCTTTCCCAATTTCTTGGGCAATTGACCTTTAACACCAAAGGCACACCAAAATCCTTCCTTCTAAGTGACTTGCCAGTACTTTCTCTCTCTGTGCTCCTTTATAACTTCTATCACTAAAACTTCACACCACGCCGACGGGAGAAAGGAAGATGCCCGAAGAACATTTCAGAAATGAGAATGAAATTAAGTAATTATTTAATTGTCTCGCTAGCAACAAATTTGTAATCTTGTTCCGATGGGCATGAAAAAGAAAAAGTAAAGATAGAAGCTGGTGAGTGACTTGCAAGGGAAGGACATCCTGTCCCTGTCCTCTCTCTGCACCCTGGTCTTCCCATGGAGACTAGTGAAAAGGACAGGAAATACATTGTATCTGCTCAGCTTGCAAACAGCAATGGCAAGCCCTCTTCTCTCAGTTACTGAATGTATCTGCTTTGTGAATTCATTCTTTATTATCATAAAAAGTTGATCCAGGCCTGGCCAAATTCCTTATGCCATAAATTATTTTGGCTCTAAATGTCCTTTGAGGGCCAGGCCGATCCTCTCGCTTACAGCTCAAGAAATTGAGACTGTCCTCAAGGAGACCTTGAGTGACAGATTACTGCCAAAACTAGCACCCAGATTGCTGCCTGCTAGTTCAGTGACCTTAAAAAAAAAAAAAAAAGGTTGAGCAGGACATGGTGGCACAGTCCTGAAGCAGAAGTCAGCCCAGGGCTACCTGGAGAAACCTGTCTCAAAAATAATAATATTAATTAATTAATTAAAAACAGGTTGAGTTCTCATATATATATATATATATACATATATATCAGAGAAGCAAGGAAACAAGAATTTTTTCCATCTGAGGGATTTAAGTAATTTTATAAGTTTGAATGTTAAGAATCTGCTTTTTCCTATAACAGAAGAATTTTCAGACAATTGCTCTAAACTGATTCATAAAAGACTATAAAATATAATTGAACATATAGATAATAAGGCAGGGAAGATGGTTCCATCACTAAAGTGATGGTCATGTAAACGTGGGAAACTGAGTTGGCATTCACAGCACTCACATAAAGCCGGATGCAGGCAGATGCAGGCAGATGCAGGCAGATACAGGCAGATGCAGGCAGATGCAGGCAGCCCCCCACAACCCCACAACCCCAGCACTGGGAGACTGTGGGGACTGTGGACGTGGAGACTGGAAAATGCATGGCGTTCGTGGCCAAAAGGATGAACAATAAGTTCAGTGAAAGATTCTTGTTTCAGGGGCTGGAGATATGGCTCAGTGGTTAAGAGCATTGCCTGCTCTTCCAGAGGTCCTGAGTTCAATTCCCAGCAACCACATGATGGCTCACAACCATCTGTACTGAGATCTGATGCAGGCATACATGGAGGCAGAATGTCATGTATACATAGCAAATAAATAAACTTAAAAAAAAAGATTCTTGTTTCAATAAAGAAATAAACTAGAATAAAGACTAAACTAAAGATGGAGGTGGGGAGCAATCAAGAAATACATGTAGATTTCACACATGTGCACACACATATATACTTCCAAAAAAATTAAATATCCTGGACTACTATGAAATACGTACTAAAGCATTATTTTAACTCATATTCAACTTCATTATTCAATAAATTCTTTACTTTTGAGTACTTGTTTATAATCAAAATAGTATTTTGGCCCATATCATAGAAATAACAGTGAATAAGTCAAAATAATAGGAGGTGTAACAAAATGGTATTATGAAATTTACCTTCACTTAAAAGGTCTGCATGTGGTGGCATATTATTGATAGTTTAACAAAAGAAACTGTATTTAAACAAGTTTTAAGGCTCTTTTGCTTTACTATAAGGCCATGGATCTCCTATTTTCCTGCTCTAGGAGTTAGGTTCTGAAAGTCCGTGAGTTTGTGTGTGTCCGCGGGCACACACATCTGCCACTCGTGTATGGAGATCAGAGCATGAATTACGGAGTAGATTCCCTCTCTCAGCATGTGGGGGTGGAACTCAGGATGTGTGTCATACTTGGCAAGCAGCATCTCTACCCGCTGAGCCTTCCCACTGGCCCAGTTCTCTCATTTTTTATTAAAACATAACATTTGTCTTACAGAATAGCCGTGCGTTTATATAGGAGAATGAATTCAAGCCTTTAGCATAGCCCTTACATATGGTATATACTGAATAACCATAGCCATTTTTATACTAGAGTTCACAAGACTAACTGAAATTTATACACACACCTACACACGTACACACACAAACACACACTTGAGGCCTTGCTAAATGCCAGGGCCCTCGTCGCTATTAGCTCTCCTTTTGCATTCCTACATTAAAATAATCCCCAAACCAGCACGACTAATGCTTAAACGAACCTCTAAGCCTCAATGGTGTTGTTGGCTTCCCGATATTTTCATTATACAGTAGAGCCCAAGTGGCATGAGAAGCAGTGTCTCGGCGAGCGCTTGTGGAGGTGTTGACTCTTGTATCATCCATCAGTTTAGCGGCTTCAGGTGAACGTGACCAGCTAACTGGGTACTCAGACGATAGACGTGGTCGCTGGGTTTGGGTTATCCACGTACGCTTTGGAAGCTCAGTACTACAGTTCTGTAAAATGACAATTCGTCAGATTTTTTTTTTCTGTTTTTCCTTAAAAACGAGTGGCTATTTTCCCCCAAACTGTGCAAAATGACCAGTTATTGGGATTTCACAGAAAGGCTTCAAATTGAACTTGATAGCTCTTTCAGAGTTCTGGACAGAAGAAAAGGAAATTGCCTTGGTAGAAAGAAGACTCCAAATGGACAAAAAGCACTTTGGGGAACAGGAACTTGCAATAACCCATGCTTATTTACCTCTGTTACCATCTGCCCTGTCCATCTCTGGCCCCTCTCCTTCCTACCTGTCCTTTGTCAGGGAGCTTCTTCCTACATCCAGCTGCCCACAGAGTCCCCAGATGCGGTGCCGAGATCTGCCGTTTGATAAAGACTGAGTTGTGGAAACAGCCATGTACACTGAGAATGAAGGGATTCTGTCGTCTGGAGTCCAAGAATTAAATCTGCATCACAAATTCATGATAGGATAGGGAAATAGCCTTTATTAGCTATTATTGCAGTGACTCTTCCTTTGGGGGCAAATCTGAAGTTAGAATGTTGACTTATCTCAGTTTTAACATTGTCATTTGGGGCCGGAGAGACGGTTCAGCAATGAAGAGCACACACTGTTCTTCCAGAGGACCCTAGCTAGACTCCCAGCCCCCAAGGCAGGAGTGTCACTCCCAAGCACCTGTAGCTATAGGTCCGGGGGATGGGCAACCTCTGGCTTCGGTGGGCGCTCGTACTCACCTACACAGGCGCATGCACACACACATCATTTAAAATTAAACTAAAATTCATTTTTTAATAAATTTAACCTTTAAGTTCCATTTCAAATTTTTTAGATAATCTATAAAAGGAGTAATTAAAATACAGACAAGTGAGCATTAGCAGTATATTAGAGTCGGGATTATTTCGAAACTTGGAAAACAAAACACATTATTTTATTTTACTGGCCAGTTTTTGATACTTCATGGTAAAAGATCTCTTTTTAGAATAAAATTTCATGTATATTTAAAAAATTCATTATTAATTAAAATTAATTTTAGTTTTGTGACTGTTGATAAGTTAAGAAATAAATACTTAAAGCAACAGCAAGATTACCTAAATCAATATAAACAATGAGCCCAGAACAGCCTGAGATGATTACAGAGTTCTGAAGCTGTCGCTAGCCTTCTCTTAGTATTTAAGTGGTAGTCAGGCTGTGGTGGCTTTAATCCCAGGACTTGGGAAGCAGAGTCAGGTGGGTCTCTGAATTTGAGGCCAGCCTGGTTTACGAGAGCTAGTTTCAGGACAGGCTCCAAAGCTGCAGAGAAATCCTGTTTTGAAAAACAAAAATAAAAATAAAAAAAAGGATATTAGTAGTGATCAACCTAAGTATTTACCTCAGCAAACATATTAGGTTTTGATCATATTCTGCATATATATATATATATACACACACTTATTTATTTTTATCTTTTGTTTATGAATGTTTTCCTGCATGCACCACATACGTGTCCAGAGAGGCCAGAAAAAAGCACCAGATTCCCTGGAACTGGAGCTACAGA